GTTTCTAAAATTGTTCTTCCTTTATTACAACTGTGTGTGTTAAACTGCAGGTGATTACGTGGATCGAGGAGAATACCCAATAGAACTTGTCCTTTTTCTATTTTTATTAAAATTACGCTACCCTAAACGTGTATATTTACTGCGTGGAAATCATGAAACAATAAGCCAGTGCTATGGAAATAAAACCGACGAGCGAGGATTGATTCGAACTGTATGTTTTGACAGTAGCGAGGGTTCTCATATCATATTTTTTCCGCGATTCGTGTAAAATAAATGGCCAACGCACGGGCTACCCATGCGAAGATGCGTTTTTTGCAGAGTTCCCCGCAAGTTTTTGTCGCTACAGGCATCGGTTTTTCGGCAGATGCTTCTAGCTGAAAGAATTGCAGACTGGCCGCCAGAACTGTCAGGAAACATCCCCTCAAAATTGCAGTCTTCTAGCTTCTCACGTTCTCGAGTAATTAACTTACCAAGAAGGGACTTTTCATGGGCCTCTACGCAGGTACCACGCTTACCCGCGGGCAGGGTTTGAGCTCGTTAATACCCACTTAGACAGGGAACACCCGCCTAGGATTCCAGCTGTCTAGTTTCTCAGAACCCCGAGTTATTAATTTACGCGGGAAAAATTTTGAGGGGCCTGTACGCGGGTACCATGCTTACCCGGGGACTGATATGAGCTCATTAGTACCTACTTGGACGGGGAACATTCTCATAAAATTTCAGCTCTCCAGCTTTTCTGGTTAGCGAGTTAGCAGCCTACCCGTAAAAAACTTTGGCGGGGTCTTACGTAGGTATCACGCGGAAAAGACCGCCCATTTTGGGGATAGGGGCCCGTACGTGCATGTAGATTAAGTCACCAAAGTTTCAACTCCGTAGCTTTTGCCGGTCTCGAGATGAAAAATCGGTACAGAGGACCAGCGCACACACAAACACACACACACAGACAACCTCTCGTCAATATGCGTTTTTCGCATTGCATAGCTGCAAAAAACGCACAAACACACACACAGACAACCTCTCGTCAATATGCGTTTTTCGCATTGCATCTAAAAAACGCATACGCACACACAGACACATACACACACAGACAACCTCTCGTCAATATGCGTTTTTCGCATTGCATTGCTGCAAAAAACGCATAAAAACACACAGACAACCTCTCGTCAATATGCGTTTTTTGCATTGCATTGCTGCAAAAAACGCATAAAAATAAAATACAATCTTGCTGTTAACCCACAGGCGTTGCATACTAGTAAGTAGTGCTCTCGAGAAACTAAGCGACCGCTCTAGCGATTCTCGAAGAGGTGGCATAGATTCATCGAACAAGGAGTGGGTACTAGCTGGAA